GATTTACGCCCCACTGCCTTGTGGGTCAGACTTTTGAGTCAAAGGCTCCGGTTAGGGTTCTCAAAGAAAAATCCCTTTGTCGGTTTGGGCCCTAAAGTGCTCTAAAGTCTTAGGCACCCATTTGGGAAACCATCTTTCCCATTTGTCTAGTTCTTCTGAACCCCGAATAATCCCAGATACCTCCTGTTTACGCCGCTCATCGCATATCACTCAGCGTTATACCATCAAGGTCAGAGATTCAGAACCTATAGGACTTTTAAAGCCAAAATCCCCTTTTCACTTAGCCGTCTTCAATGTCCGCACTCTCGAAACTTTCAATGTAGATGTATGTTGTGTCTCCGAAACACGCATACAAGACCCTATTTCCATTATCTCTATGCCTTCTCCTGAACCAACCTCAACCTCACGTTTCACCCTTCGTGTGTCAGGCGATTCGGCATCCGAAGCTCGCGGTGTTGCTGCTGTCGGGACTGCGCTAAGTGCCAAGGATGAGCGCTTGCTTCTTGACTGGATTCCAGCCAGTAGCCGATTGTGCGCTGTACGTCTTTTATTAGGCGCAGAGTTTTGGATATCCGCAGTCGCCCACTGGAGTAAGTGGTCGACCTCCATAGATTACGTTGGTTGGGACATGTGTTACGCATGCCACCAAATAGGTTGCCACGGCGAGTGATGTTTGCCGAGGCAAGTAGTGGATGGAAAATAGCCAAAGGTGGTCAAGCTAAAACCTGGCACGAGGGAATTAAAATCCTAACCAGGAGATGGGTCACATGGGTCCTGTTAGGCTCCCTGGCTGGGGACCTCGGGATGGTCGTAACCGATGGTTATAGACACTGAGTGATAGGGCTGGGTGTCGCAAACAGTGGCGTTCGTGCATCTCCTCAATTTCTTAGCAAAACCATTTCACTGCAGCCTTCAAAAGCCTCAGTATGGTCGGGAGTAGATATCTAAGGTTGTGGCTGGTCACCCTTCCATTTCACCTCACAAAATGCTCCCATACGACCAAGCGTCACAAATAGCCTCTGTTGAGGAAGTCCTACTCACTGCCTTCACGTGGCGGAGGTGTTTTCCCACCAAAAAGCCGATACCCGGGGCTAGAACCGGGTTGGTGGACTACTGATAGTCCAACTAGGAGAGTTGGCTCAAAACCCTGATTCCAAACTAACCAAGAGGAGGCGTACGAACCATATACTTTCCCGGTTGTGGCTGTTGTGGCCACCGGTTCGATTGGGCATCGAGGTGTATTGGGCACCTTGAACTTTTGACTCCGTCCAACGGGCGTATGATCCGATGAACTGGACACCGGCCCCTAATGGATTCCGGTTTTTGCACAACGCCCCGTTGCCTTGCGGGTCAGGTTTTGGTTCGCCTGGGCAACCTGGAAGTATTCCGCCCAAATGCAAATCATGGAACGTTTTTCTTTTTCATAAAGATTATTGTGCCATGATTTGTTTGACACAGTCTGGATTGAGACGTGTGTGAATATATATACATATATATCGCAAAAAAAGGTTGTTGTGGCCAAAATACACTTCCTGGATACAAGTATATGAATGAACGGACAGAAGATTGCCGGATATGCATGCCTGACGAGCGGCAAGAACCGCGAAATCGGTCGTGTGCTTCCAGGGAAAGTTTGTCCAATCATTCACACACTACTTATGATGAAATATATATATGTATATATGTGTATAATATATATTTCACTGCATTGTCTGAAGTGACTGGGGCACGTCCTACGAATACCTGAACAACATGTCTCCATACCGTGCGCTATTTACGACATTGGTTCGGGATGGAGGTAACAACGAGGTGGACAGGCTATGACATGGCGTAAAGGATTGAAGAGATTGTGCGCGGATTTAGCATCTGTTGGAGCACCTCGGCGGAGGCCTCAAAGATTCAGATTGTTTTTGATTGGAGGCACCTAGGTATATGGCATGGAATCGAAATCAGTGGCGTGAATGTGCTCTTCTCTGACCTCAATCCCCAAAATAAACGAACAAAAAAGTCAAAATTGCGTACAATGAAAAGTCAAAAACAGTTCTCATCCCCACAATTGACAATCATTATGTTGTATTTCCAAAAGGCGGTGCTCGGCCGCGGATAGTTGTTTATTGAGGATTACAGGTTGGACATCACTAACTTGGCATACATAACACGAAAATCTCATCAGAAAAAGTACAATCGCAATTCTTGGCCGAACAACGGGTAATCAATGTAGCAATCGGTAGTTATTCTTTGAAACCCAAATTCGCCCTCGGCGATTTTGTTAATTTTTGATCGCTGAAATAAATCACTAACTACTCACAAGCGAGTAGTATCTCACAACAGTTGTTTTGTTCCTTGTTCTGTTTCTGTAATTCTGATTCAACTGATCGTTATTCTGGCGCCGTATCTGTAAAGATTGGTGTTGTATTTTTGTCTTTTGGATAGAACGAGGTCTGGCACGACTCGAACAAACATAGACATACACCTTAAGGGTGGATGTGTGTGTGTGTGGGGGGGGGGGAATTACAGGAACGATGACGGAAATCGTGTGTCGTATTTTGCCGAGCGGTATCAAACATAGCTATCACCAAAGGTGCTTGACAGTCAAACCTGGAACCTTGGAGATCCGCCAGTTCGATTATTACAGAAGCATGATTCATTGGCTGTCAGCTATTTCAACGGGTTTTAATCAAACGAAATTCAAACAAAAAAGAGAGGTGGAGGAAACACACCTGAGATGCAGCAATCATGAGTGGAATCATCCCGGTAGCCCCGTGACACCAATGCACAAGAACATCACGTGTCATACTGTCCCCCAAACTGGAAGGCCAGTTACCGGACGGTAATTGCAATTGACTGATCCAATTCACTGTGGGTAGAATGAGCTGGTCCATGGCATGTTTTGGGATTGCTGTGGGAAACAGATGATGAATCTGTGTTGTGCGGATGAAGAAAAAGGGGAAAAAACACGGGAACTGATGAAGGTGAATGTGGTGAGGGGGGATACCTGGATGCATTTTAGTCCAATAAGAGAATGGTAGCAAAGCGGAGGGAAAGCTGTTTCTCCTGAGGTTAGGTCTCCAGTCAGAGAAACAAATTTTACAGTGAAACATCCTTTTCCCAATCTCATTAAAATAAAACTTTCGTTTTGCCATCAGTTTGGCGTGCCCTCATCCAGCTGTCAACGCACATTTACGTACGGTTATGTCGAACAAAGAAGGCTAGGAGTGGGAATGAGTTATTGGAATTAAGTGATGGTGGTGGTGTGATTTAGGTTTCGTCACGTGTAAAGGTTAGGCTAGATGACAAAATTTGATAATGCGTTATGAAAGCGATCTGGTAAAACCCATATGATGAATGTAATTGGTGGTTGTGGTGGAGGAGGGGAGGGGAGGACAAGTTACACCACACAGCCAGGTAGGGTGGTGTGATGTAATCATTACCACGGCAACAAGAGTTACTCAAATTGTTGTTTGGCAGATTTGAAGTTTCTATGTTGATTGTGAAAAGTTCAGTTTTTTTCCCACCGAGGCTACTGAATTTTTCACAATCGACACAGAAACAACAGTTACGTCAATAATGATTTGAACACAATGGCGGCTCAGGGGTGATGACTTATTACCGTTTCCATAGAAATCAAAAAATCCCTCATCATCGAGGTCTCGTATTGACAGGTATAATTCCGCTACATTAATGAGTTTCTCGGGTTAGCAAACAAGTTTGTTTCCGATTTTCTATAAACAAGCTAAGTATATCAAATCTATTTAATAGATTAAACGGGTTGCACGAAGAGGCACATAATTGCGAGTGATATAGGGGTTTGAAATGAAATGATTCGACTGGAATAACTGGGATGTAGAAACGATCAATGGGCTTCCATAGAATCGAAGTCTTTCGAGAAGAAAAAACTGAAAACCAACAAAGGCAGTATCTTTACAAGACGTGAAAAAAACAGGAATTGTTACCCCCATATGGATCTAAATATACTGATATTATGAAAGGACTACTCGGGGATAATACTGAGCTCACTTCGAACAACGGATAGAATCCCTGTATAGAGAAGACTCCAAAAGCCGAAGTATGATCGCGGGTGAGTGTTTTGGGTTGTGATTGGTCACCCTTGCCTTACACCTCTCAAATAGTTTCTGTTGAGGATGCCCTACTCTTTGCCTTCCCGTATCGGAGCTGTATTCCCTACCAAAGTGAGAGGACAAAATGTCAACATCCGGGGCTATAACCGGGTTGGTGAACTACTGGCACTTCCCTTAGGGAAGTTGGCTAAAAACGCTGACTCTAAATCAACCACGTGGAGGCGTGCGAACCACACCCACCCATACCTTCCTGATTTTGATAGTGGTTATCGGTTTGCTTTGGCATCGAACAACTTGGACAACTTGGACGTTTGACCCCGTCCGAAGGGCGTATGATCCGATGAACAGAACAAC